AAGGAAATTCGAAAATGACCATTTTAAGGACCACCCTAATATATATATATATATATATATATATATATATATATATATATATATATATATTGTTAAGATTTTGCTTTAGCGAAGAAGGTATTTATAAAGAAAACTATCAACTTTCACAAAGATATATTTCAGACAAACAACAATTATATTTAATATATGATTAATGCGTTCAAATGTATGCCACTAAGGTTAGGAACAGAGTGCCGATTTTTACATCATCCTCGAGGCTCCCGTTCGAGCCGGAAATATTGCCCATAGAGCTCATATATAGAGCGGAATCCTGAAGGGTTGTAGTTCAGGTATTCCATAGTGACGGTAGAGTCCGTCATAGAGTCCGGTTCCATAGAGTCCGGTACAGCAAAGTGTTGAATATAAGGGTGCTGACACACAACACCATAGAGGGATGATGAGTCCATAGAGCATAGATAAGTGAATAATTGAATATAAGGGTGCTGGCGCACAACATTCCTCCCTCCTTTAGGAGATTATAGTTCTTACCAAATTCAGACATTTATAACAAAACATGAACTATAATCTATATGAAATATTTACATGACATGGCAAACATTAAGATTTACATAAAAATTGGAAAAACATTATCATTTAAATTTAGAAAAGTGTTATAACTAAAAATTTAAAATTGAATCACATTATAATTAAAATTAGAAATTTAATGTTACTTTTTGTTAAAAGTATTACAGTTGAAACTTAGAAATTAGAAAAACATAATAATAAAATAAAATTACAAATTGGAAAAGTATTACAATTAAATAGTAGAAACTGTAAACATATTTAACATTAAAATTTGGTTTAAATTAGTTATTAAAATACTGAGATATTGAGTAATAACAAACATAATATAAAATTGGAAAAAATTTAAATAGTATCAATGAATTTTTTAATTCTATTGACATGAACTTTCACCTGCCTCCGCCCGCACAACAAAGTGTAATTCACGTCTGAATTTTTTTGTTAAAATAGTATAAGGTCCTGTCCAAAGCATTTGTAACTTTTTAGACTTTCCTTTTTGGATTGTCTCATTTTTTAACAGAACCTGATCACCAATATTAAATTCAGTCATAGTTGTATTTTTGTCATAATATAATTTAGATTTATTTTTACTATCAATTAAAATCTTTCGTGCAACTTTATTTGCTTTTGGAATTCTATTTTTAATCTCACTAGCATAATCATCATATGTATATTGGGAATCGGGAATTTGGAATGGCTTCGTGGGAGTGTCTGTAATTACTATTGGAAATTTATTTGATTTGTAATTTTTATTTCTTTGGCAAATCTCGCAATTTTTTATATAAGCCCTTAAATCTCGTTTGAGATTTGACCAATTATATTTCAAAACAATTCTTTTGAAAGTTCGTTTGAATCCTTGATGACCTCCTAGTTGTGTGACATGAAATTCTCTAAATAAAGTTTCCTTATCACTCGGAGTAAGAATGTTAGTTAAAGGATAATTAAGTATATGTATAAGTATATTGGTATCTTTAAAAATAAAACGAATCATTGACTTTATTTCAGACCATTCTACGATATCTGATGTATTTACTAAAACAGGTATAGCAATTGTATTGACATTGTGTTGTAAACATAAATCTTTTAATTTAGAAAGGGAATTGAATAAAATTTTAGAAGACGTACTGTCGGATTCTGTGACTCTAGTAACTAAATAAAAAATGAATGAATCATTATGTTTGATAAAAGCAACTTCGCCTAAATCTTTATTCTGAGCTTGAAGTTCATTAATTTTATTAAATTTTTCCTTAAATTTGGAAAAAAGAAGATCAGAAGTTGTGAAGTTCTTTGGTATACCAATCGAAAATGACTGGTGTGAAAAAATATCGGTACTTACATCAACTACATTTTTATTTATAATAACATTATTATCTAATGCTCTTTTAAAATCGTCATGAGATTTAGAACAGGAAGGAACGGAAATTCTGCTTAGAGCATCGGCGTTAGTATTAACCTTATTTACATAGTACCTAAAATTATGTGGAGATATTAAGGTATTACCGATAAAAACGTTACTTTTCAATTCTGTTTTCCCTATAATTCCTGTATCATTAGTAAATGTAGACACCTGCACTACAGATTCTGTGTGAGGTTTTAAACTAGTTAGAGTATTTGTAAAATTTAAAGGCAAAGAAACCCTATTAAAATTAACTAAAGATTCTTTAATATTTATATTTCCATTGAATTCTTTCAAAAAATCTAATCCTAAAATACCCTCACCTCTAATGGGCACTGTATTATCAACTACGTAAAAGCTATGACTTATAATTCTGTCACCTAATCTAAATTTTATAATAATCCTACCTATTGCATTCACACTATTTCCAGATATACCACATAATTTGAGCTTATCTTCATTTGTGTGATCAACTCTTAAATCATTTTGTAAAACTGAAAGTTTAATAACACTCACTTCTGCTCCCGTGTCTACTAATAAGTTTATACGATCGGTTACTGTACTCAAACATTCAATATTTACAAAAGCTAGATTTTGTTTTGAACTATTAATGCAAGAAAGGTAAGCCTTTTTTAGCTCACTTACGAGGCTAGAAGATTTATCACTTGTGTCTGGAAAAACTTTACTAGTACTAGGTGCACTTTCATCGATAGCCCTATCTACGATATTAATTTTAGATTTAGATTGTTCATTATGGATACGCTTCCTACAATCAGAAATGCTATGACCTAAGTTTTTGCAGTAATCGCATGTTATTGGAATAGATTTAATATGGGATGTGGGACGAAAGGAATAGTTATTAGGCTTTTTAAAATTTGATTTGAAGTTTTTGGATGAATTTAATAACTTTTCTTCCTCAACGGCTGCTGAAATTGCTAATTCTAACGTCTTTAGTTGTTTAGCCTTTATTAAAATTTTTAAATCATGATGAAGGCCCTCTTGAAAAATGTGTAACGCTTGATAATTAAGTAATTTTGAGCAATAAACATTGGAATCTGGTATTTCAATTTGTTTTATAGTTGCATCGATCAACTCCCTTAAAATATCTTGTAACCTTAAACCAAAATCCCTAGCACTTTCATTAAAACCCTGCCTACATTGATTGAACTCAATTTGAAGAGAAGAAACAGACCTATTATCTAAATAAAGCTCTTCTAAAGCAGCTTTAAGCTCGTCAAAGTTTTCAAATTTTCTATACTGAATTGCCTGCATGGCTTTTCCTTTAATTTTTATATATAAAATGTAGTCTAATAATGCATCATGATCACTTGATTTAACAACTTTAAATGCATACGTGCAAGAACGAAAAAATTGATCAAGCTGTAATTTGCTTGAACCATCAAAGCAATCTATAGCATCCATAGCTCTTTGTAGTGCAGACATGTTTGTAAGTGGTAACGAAAGAAGGAAAGGAACTCAGGTGTAATAGAATGTTTGGATATGATGATTAGCTTATCATTAAAGACTGAATTTAATAAATGTGAAATAAGGTTACCTGTTTCCAGAGAAAACTTGTAGATATGTCAAATAAAATCGCGCGAACGGCTGATCACTCTTTGTTATTGCAGTCTGAGGTTGGTGCAGTACTTCTTATCAAGCATAAATACCCTAGATTATACAAATATTATTAGTAATTTTGTTTACAATATATAAAAAACACAACGTGGCAATAGATATAATATGATAGAGCATAAAAATAAAATTTGGTATAAGAGTACTATAATATAGCAAAAGTAAATACTTATTTTAATGAAATTGCTTATGATATATTGATATTAGAATTAGAAAGTAGAGATAATATTGAATTTGAATATCAAAGCAAGATTTTGGTAATTAAATTAGAAAAAAATTGGTAATTGGAATTAGAAAATAAGTATTTAACATAAAATAGAGAATGAAATGTCTAGAATTTGGCAAAAACCATAATCAAATATAATAAAATGAATGTACTATCTTCCCTTTGTGCTGTAATGGCGGTCAGAAAAGACGCTTCTTTGTGTATGCGACGCTCCAATGGCAGATCCTTTGTCCAAATAGCTAGGAACGCTCTACATAAGCTGTGCGGCCTTGTGTCCAATTCTGGGGTCCGTTTCACGTTATATTCTTCGCTATCTGCGACGCTGTTGATTTTTCTTGAATACTTGTTGTAAAATCACAAGTTTTTACCTCTCTTACAAGCCTGTTTTTTAATTCGATTCACCGCTGCTCACCAATATGTTAAGATTTTGCTTTAGCGAAGAAGGTATTTATAAAGAAAACTATCAACTTTCACAAAGATATATTTCAGACAAACAACAATTATATTTAATATATGATTAATGCGTTCAAATGTATGCCACTAAGGTTAGGAACAGAGTGCCGATTTTTACATCATCCTCGAGGCTCCCGTTCGAGCCGGAAATATTGCCCATAGAGCTCATATATAGAGCGGAATCCTGAAGGGTTGTAGTTCAGGTATTCCATAGTGACGGTAGAGTCCGTCATAGAGTCCGGTTCCATAGAGTCCGGTACAGCAAAGTGTTGAATATAAGGGTGCTGACACACAACACCATAGAGGGATGATGAGTCCATAGAGCATAGATAAGTGAATAATTGAATATAAGGGTGCTGGCGCACAACAATATATATATATATATATATATATATATATATATATATATATATATATATATGATATATAGGCAGTCCTCGTACCTACGGCATGTTAGGTTCTCGAAATACGCGACGTAAATCGAAACGACGTAAGTCGAGACATATTTTTTCGTATGTTTACATGTAAAACTCAAGGGGTAGGTTCCACACGGACTCGAAATAATAAAAAAAACTGCATTTATAACAAAGGACGTACTTTATTATTAAAAGTAAGTTCTTAAAATAATTATATATTATGCACTTATGAAATTGCTAGTTATTTTTGGTATTTGTGTGTTATTAATTTAATAATAATTATAAAACTTATACATATGTAATGATAAACAATAAATTAAACTTTTGGCTTAAAGAAACTATCAATTCTAGATTGCTTGGCTTCTTTCTTCTTGCTATCATACAGATCTTGGTAACAGTGATAGGCTGCACAAATTTTGTTATTAACGTTAAAACTTCTCTCAAAATTAGGATCATTTTCTTCAACAATTTTCATGGCATTCTTCAAATTTGCAAAGGCTACGGAAAGTTTTTTTAGTGTAAGTTCTTTCTCAGAATCACTAATAGAAGAAGCTATTTCTTGTGACTCGAGTGCTTCCTTTTGTACTTGTGCCTCCAATTCAATAAGATCTTCATCAGTCAGTTCTTGCGAATGTGAGCTTAACAGATCATCAATATCATCAGCAGTAACTGCAATGTCAGGGAAACGGTTAGCCAAATGAACAATGTCAGTTGTGATCTCATCGACATTTGGTTGATCTGTAGATGTAGAACTTTCAGATGGCTCAAAAAAAATGGGCATAACTTTTTCCATACTCCTTTTAAATTGTTGGGTGTCACCTCATCCCATGAAGTAGCAATATTTTTTACGCATTGCAGGATATTATAACTTTTCCAAAAATCTCTCAGCTCCATGCCATCATTTTCATTAGCCTTTACAGCCTGTGAAAAAGTTCTCCTGGGATAATAGGCCTTAAAAGACGCGATAACTCCTTGATCCATCGGCTGTAACAACGAATTGGTGTTGGGAGGCAGGAACACGACTTTGATTTGAGGATCAATATCGGCAATACGCACAGGATGGCCGGGAGCATTGTCCAAAATAAGTAAAGCTTTATAAGCCAAATTATTGTTTGAACAGTACTGTTTCACTTCAGGTATAAAATGCTTAGTAAACCATTCTTCAAAAAGTATTGATGTAACCTAAGCCTTTGGATTAGCCTTCCATATAACTGGAAGAGTACTCTTGACGTAATTTTGAGAGCTCGAGGATTTTCAGACCTATAAACTAAAAGGGGTTTCAATTTAAGATCACCTTCAACATTCGAACCCAATAACAACGTCAAACGATCTTTAGCCGCTTTAAATCCAGGCATAGACTTTTCTTCCTGTGATATAAAAGTACGAGAGGGCATTTTTTCCCAAAACAAACAAGTTTCGTCCACGTTAAAAATTTGTTTAGGCGAATAGTCTCCACTTTCGATAATTTCCTTTAATATTCCAGGAAAACTCTGAGCAGCCACATGATCGGCACTAGCAGCTTCTCCTTGCACTCGAATGTTATGTAACGAATATCTCGTTTTAAAGCGCATGAACCATCCGCGACTGGCAGAAAAACATTTTGTTTCGTCACTATTATTCTCGCCACGTTTATTTTGCAGTGTGTTGATGATACTCAGCGCCTTATTTTGTATAATAGCCAAACTTAGAGGAACCCGTCGCTGAGTTTGATCTTACAACAGTTTTTCCATTTCATAAATTAAAGCATTCCTTTTGCGTATAATAGTGCTGTTTGAAGAGACGGAAGTAAGAGCTGTTAAGAGTTTTTCTTTATCTTTCAATATTGTTTGTACCGTCGTGCGTGATAAATTGAGTTCTCGTCCAATAGATGAAGTCGAATAACCGCGATCTTTGAGTTTTAAAATCTTAGATTTAACCTCCATTGTAATTGACTTTCTTACTCTCTTCTTCACTTTATTATTACTGTCTTGTTTAGGTGGCATTGTTTAAAATTCACTTAAATATGTATGTAAACACAAAACTGTAAAAGATGCAAAAAAACTAATTTATTACGTCTTGATTGTCCGTTGTCCCTGAATGTACTAAACAAAATCAGCGACATTTGCGGGGTATTCCCCGCACGAGACGACACCGCGCCCCGCCCGCGCCCCTCACGGACATTGACCTTGCGACAAGTGAATTCTCCGATATGCCGGAAATCGAAACAAATGACGTATGCTTGAGGAATAGCGTCAAAACATTGTTTGACGTAACTTGAAACGACGTAAATCGAAACGACGTAAGTCGAGGACCGCCTGTATATGATAAAATTGTTTCTTGGGCATCCATCCAGTAATTAAAAAACAGTTTTATTGAAAAATGTTTTATTTAGAGAACATACGTTTCGGGTCTTGATTTGACCCATCTTCAGTGCTACAATTAAATATTTCAGGGTTACAAATTAAAACAATATAAAAAATATAAAAATACATAATTACAGACAAAAATAAGTAAAACAATGTATATGAAAAGTATATATGAAAAACAACCATAAAATAAACAAATGTAAAGAAACTCACCATACAAATAAATTTTGAAAAATAACACAAAAACACACAAAATTGCACGAAAAAATAAATATGAAATAAAAAATTGATAAAACGTCGAGTTCTGAAAATTTTTAAAAAAATTGTAAAATTAAAATAAATAATATAATTATAAAAAAGTTTAATTATGTTAATTATAAAAAGGTTTTATTATAAAAAAGCTTTTTCCAAACGAACATGTTGTCAGTTTGGAATATGTATGACGTGTGTGTACGAGAGTAAAATGTGTGCGTACGTGTTTGCGGAAAATAGTGGAAACTGTTATGTCATTGGATTAGAGAACAGGATAGAGAGAATTTTAGTGGTTTCATATTACGAAGATTTTCTCAGCGATCATGCGCAGTAGGAACATAGAAAAAATATAAATGTGTAAGCAATCCATAATCAACGGTTAAACATAATATGTGGAACAAAATGAAAATATAGAAACATATTGAAACCATGATAGACAATGTAAAAATGAAAAAATATGTGATGAAGAGAAATTTATTAAGAAAAAGTATATTATAAAATATTAACTGAAAGCGATAATAGTTATGGAACAAGTTATTATATAAACAATTATAACATATCATATATATGTATATATACGCAAAACAATAAATGTATATATGTATACACATACATATATATGCAAACACATGCACACATACATATACAATATATATGTAAACATATATATATATACACACATATATGCGTGATAAAAAACAATTCTCTGAAAGTTTTAGCTCTTAATATTAACGTTTAGATAGAGCGCAATTTAATCAAAGTTTGTATGGAAAGAGCATAGAAAAATTTTGAAAATTTAAAAAAAATCTTTTAGATATAACTTAGCGACAAATGAATGAGTTTTATTCATTCATTTGATCGCTAAATTACATCTAAAAAATATTTTTAATATTTTTGAAAATTTTTCATGTTATTTCCATACAAAACTTTAATTGAATTGAGCTCTATCTAAACGTTAATATTAAGAGCTAAAACTTTCAGAGAATTGTTTTTTATCTATTTGGAACCATTTGAGCCCCTGGGAGCAAGGAAATTCGAAAATGACCATTTTAAGGACCACCCTAATATATATATATATATATATATATATATATATATGTATATACATGTTAGGATGTATTGCGCATATTGAAAAAATTATTCGAAGCATCGCGGTAAATATTGCAAAGAGAAGCCGAATCAAAACGTTCGTTAATAGCAGGTAAAATTTGTATGAAAATACTCTCAGCGAACCATTGCGGAGATGGCATGACTGGAAGAAAGCTCTCAGCGCTTTCATTGGGCTCGATATACTCTGCTATGACTTCATGGGCATCAATAATCATGTTGCTCCATACTTCTTTTAGAACTTCTCCAGCCTTCTGAAAGTTTAACTTCTCTAGATTTTCATTTTTTTTTTCCTTGCTTATCCACGTGCGTATCAAAGTGATCATGAGGAAGTACCAGACCAGATAATTCTCGGCTTAAAGGCGCAATTCTTCTCTCAACGCGATTGAATGCGCTTCTGCCAGGTGCATTTGTAACCACGAAAATAGCATCAAGATCGTTCTTGACAAAGTGGTTTATAGCTTTAGCAATAACTTTGGGATACCTCGGATTTTCGTCGGGCCCTCCATCAGTTGATATGAAAACCACTGGTTTCATGTGTCCTTGCTCATCTCGCATAATTTCTTTAAAATTATCGAGAGTTACTGCTAATCCAAGTCTACAGCATGAGTGGAAGCTGTCGAAGAGGAGTGTTTTCCATTTCTGATTGCTATATATGTTGGCCGTGAATATGAGACTGCCTCAAGACGGCCCATATCATTTTCTTTTATGATGCACCCAGCATATACGCTAGGGATCAATTTATGCCTCGAACCAACGACCCAATCTTGATCAGGCAATGGAATTCTGTAATCAACATGCATCAAGAGCGGGGCTTGCTTATTTGTCGCTATCAAACCTATTGGCTCCCGGGATTTATCATCCTGCGACAAAGAACACGCTTGTTTTGGCCCGAGAATGGATGCAAGTGTCCCCAATGATCTTATTGTGGAGACACAAAAATGTTGATCGGGATGAGCCTTGTGGTGATCCTCCTCAGGACGACTCAATTTTACTGGCACAGTAGCAACATGCCTTTTACCTTCCAAGCTGGTGTAATTTCTCGGAAGTAATCGAAGGTATGCGCCACTTCTTGAGATTTTGAATCCTTGCTTTTTTAACTTTTCGAGCTCAAAATTTAATTTTAATAATAATTAGGAAAATATCATAGGTTTTTACTAAAAAAAAGTTTATTTTTAAATTATTACCATAACAAATATTTTTATGTTAGTTTCGTTTTAAAACGTTTAATTTGAAATTATTAACATAATAAACATACATTTTTTTTAATTATAGTTTATTATTTTAAAATATATAGAGTGACTACCTTTGACGGATACATAATTTTTGTCTATATTTTCCAAATTATTAAAACTGTTGCAAAATTCAACATTATACTTCAAATATATAGTATATATTATTATTTATTAGAAGAATATTCTTCATAATGTTTATGCGCTACGTTAAAAATATATAAATGTTACAAATGATCGATCGAACTGAAAAGTAAATTTTGGTTTCACGAATGAACGTCCCATAAAAATAGATAAATATTAGTATTAACTTACCTTTTTAGAATTAGCACAATAGGAATATTAGAAGACTTCTTTACTTGTTTTTTCGGCGACACTCTAAACAATCACTCGCCTGTTATACAAAATCATCTTTAGCACTATATTTTATTTTTGCACTAGCCCACAGTTCATTAATTGTTCTTGAGCATCACTAGTTTTTTTTTTCCTAGTTTATACTTTGCAAAAAGCTGTTTATACCAATCACCTAAGTTAGACATTTTCACTACTTTTCACCGCTAATTTTAATGCTGACCGTACTACTTATTAAACACTAATGAATAGGAGTGAGAGATTTTTTATACAATTATTCCCATGAAATTTTCTTGTACTTCACCGGGAATCTTCTTGTGCTTTCCCGAGATTTTTGATAGACGAAAGTGTTATTTCCTATAGCTACATGGTACCAAGAAAGAATTTACGCATGTAGCAGTTATCGAAACAACATCCGGGATGTCGTCGACGACACGCCCACGCAGTGACTTTTATTCATTTTACAGCATTCGTAAAGTCAAGGCCAGAGTGCGTACGACTATCGGTCGGCATTACTTTGACGAAAAAATAAATACAATCGTGGTATGCTACGGATACTATCGGTATCCGTTGATGAAAAAACAATTGCACGTGATATCGAGCTGTTAAATCTTCCACATTAAAAGGAGTTTTGCATTCGGCACATGTTGAACATTTACTTCTCGGTGACCCAAGTTGTAGTAGCAATAATCGGTCAAGATTAAAGTTAGAATTTTTTAAAAAATTCTTTTATATATACATATTGTATTGTACAAATCCATGTAGGATTTTGTATGTTCTATCTTCTCCTTCATTTTGTTGGCTATTGGATTTCCCTACGCGATACCCTTTGCTAAGATTCATCTCTCGCAATACATAACCACAGCTCTCGCTGCAAATCGCCGCTTTGTAAAAATTATCTAAGCAATGGAAAAATGAATTATAATAAATCTACATTTTATATTAGTTAATGAAGTCACTTACCGAAATCCCGCACAATAAACACGTCTTCCTTTGACCAAAGCTCTCGGGTATAGTCTTTATCATGATTAAAGACGTTATTGAAGTCGAATGTCTCGGAGGCCACCAACACTTCGTCTTGTTGAATATAACTCTGAAAGTTTGAATTCAGAGGTGGATTCTGCCAGTCCATAAATGCGATATAACGCATCTCCAGAGATGGAATATATCTACACTTAGGAGTTGGAGTATGTTCTCCAGTAGTAAAGCACAATTTGCGTTTTCCGAAAGAGTTCAATTCGCCTCCTTCTGTTAAGTACAATTTGCCACCTCGGATAGAACGCACTTATCAAAAGATCGGAACCACTTCCAATTAACGGGACAAAATTAAGAACATATTGACAGATTTTACCGCGAAGCAGACCAGACTACATGGTTATATAATTCGTTTGATTTTGCATGCACGGAATATTTCGATTGTTGCATTCAAGTAGAACAAAGATTCAAACTTGAATAATTTTTTGAACCATCCTCGTACTGTCACTTTTCTCTCAGGTGATATTGCATATGGTTCATCAATGATCTTCTGTAATGTTTCTCGCACCCTAGGATACTCTTTTTTTGCACCGTAAAAGGGCTCTAACACGAACGCACCAGTGAGGAGGACACATTGCAATTAAGTTATGTAATTTTCTTCAACCTCATCTCCTGTTGCATATACTACCTCGTTTTCGTAGATTTTTCTTCTCGCTGTGG